GGTGAAGGTCCGCTGGGGCTCAGCCTGGCTATGGCGAGCACCCCAGCTTGAGGAGGAGGAAGAAGGGGGCATGGTAGGAGAGTGGTAGGGCACTTACCTGGCTATGGTGGACACCGTCTTCATCACCTTGTTGGGCGCTGCATCTGGAAGGCCCCAGTTGGGGTAGCGCTGCACCAGAGCAGCTCAAGGCAGAGTCAGGCATAGCGGACGAAGTCAAGCAGCGGCATAGCTGCTTTGGGCTGTCTTGGGGCATCAGCGCAGCATCATAGCTGCCTCCCAGTAGTTCGCCATGGCCTATGCATGAGAGAGGAGGATGAAGGAGGGAAGCCATGGCCATGGTGGACTTTCTTGTTGTTGTTGTTATTGTGAGTTGAGTCAGCAGTAAGGAGGAACTTCGGATGTTGATTCTGGTACATCCATTCATTGTTATTATTATTGTTGAGAGAAGAATAAGATTGGCGGATTGAAGGAGGAGGAGGAAGGTGGACAGAGAAGGGGGAAATTGTCATTGGTCTTGCTGGTGTCCTTCTTCTTCTTCTTCTTCTTCTTCTTCTTCTTCTTCTTCTTTCTCTCCCCTCCGGTCTTTATCTCTTTGCAAGTGCTTTCATTTCCTTCGCAATTTGGTGGCATTGTCTTTCATTGTGAATTTGCACTTTGGAAATGACCGGGATCGTAACATTTAATTGATTTATTTATTTATTTTTTTGCATTTTGTTTATATATTATGTCTGTGCAATTACAGGTATGCGGAGATGGGGAAGGACGAAAAGAACAAGATCTCACATCGCGGAAGAGCGCTTCAGAAACTAAAATCCTTTTTGGATGAAGGAAAATTACCCGGGCAGTCGCCTCTTATGCCATCCTCGATTGACGGCGAACGATGACGATTCCCCACCTGGATGGGGCTGATGGACCTGGGTTCACTCCTCTGGATTGCGGATGTACCTGGGTCCAATTCATATGTGGATTCATTCCTGGATTGCGGATGTACCTTGATCCATTTCATACCTGGATTGCTCTCCTGCGTAATGAACCTGCATCGGAATATGGACCAGGGGCGGATCCGTAGCAGATGGACCTGGGTTCTCACTCCTGGATTGCGGATGTAGTGCATCTGGATCCAATTCATACCCAGATTCATTCCTGGATTGTCGATGTACCTGCATCCACTTCACACCTGGATTGCTTGCCTGGATCATGAACCTGCATCGGAATATGGACCAGGGGAGCCTTGAGGGGTGGGGTCAATTTTGTAGATCTTGTTGGAGGTATACGGATATGACAAAGCTGTTTACTTTTTTAAAGTTTTTTTTTTTAAATTTTTTAATTTTATTTTATTTATTTTTAATTCATTTTGAACTGTGAAGTAGGAAGTCCTTTAATTTTTGGATTTTTGCAGGTTTAATTAACACCTCCGGGGTGAGCGTCGATGGCTTTTAAGTTTTTGCCATTAATAGGACT